AGGTCATGGGAAGAAGGGATATAAAGGGAAGAATGGGGAACTGGACCAGGTTCCATCTGGTCCATTTGTAACTGTCCCAGTCTTTTAGTTCTTTTCTGAAGTGGGATTTAGACTTCTGTGGCATATGGATGTTTGGAAAATTCTGTTTAGAAAACACTGATGGCTTATCTGGGGCCAGGGAATCTTAACCTTCAGAATGCTGTGGACTCAGACTGGATGATAAACCGTGGGAGCTCTGAAAGCAGCCTCCCTATCATCTCTTCTTGTGACCCCAGGAAAAATGGACTGTGGGCAGAACTGTTAATCTTGCTATGAAGATACCTAGGTCTGCAGCAGAGATCCACTGCCCCAAATTCAATGGGTGACCTTGGCTTAGCTCTTCCCTGGCCTGGATCTGGATTTACCCACCTGCACTGTTTGGGGAGTCCTGGTAAGGGAGAGTTGCTCATATCTATGTGACCCTGTGACCCTGTTCTGAGAGACCCTTGAGTTTTTCCTATCTTTTGGAAAGAATAAGCCTCCTGGCCCTCCTCCAGACCTTTCTCCCAGAGGAGAAAGTAGCCCCACTGGCATCACCAGATGCCCCGCTTCTACTGGAGTTTTAAGGAGTATCTTGCTGCTTCTTCAGTCTGGGGGGCCCTAGGTCTCTGCTGGGCCACCCACGTGGCAGCCACACATCATGCCACACTGACCTCCAGCTCACCTCTGAGGGTGCCCAGCCCCCTCTGGTCAGCAGAGCTCCCTGGCAGAACATCCCACTCTCAGACCAATCCTCTGACCTCGGGCCTTCCTTCTGGCTTCCCAGGCCCCCTCCCCAGACCAAGTGCCTACTCCTGAACCTGGCTTCCTGCCACTCAGGATGGAGGGGTTATGTGTGTGTGTGTGTGGGGGGGTGACAGCTGTGTAAGCGATGGTGGCTGCCCCCTTCCTGCCCCTCCCCCCCAGCTGTCTCTCTCCCATGACAGCTGCCCAATCAAAGGGCCGGGGGCTTAGCCAGTTCCCCCCCCCTCCACATGCAGGGATCAAGTGTCCTCCCTGGCTTTGTTCTAGTGCAAGAACAATCCAGGGGAGGGGAGGGGAGGGCTCCTAGGGCCAGTTGAACCAAGTAGGCTGGCCCGCCCCTTGGGGGATTCCCTCTGTTCCACTGCCCAGTATGTCTGGACCACTAGAGCCTGTGGACCCACCTGGGCTACAGAAGGTTGGGAGAATCCAGTCTCCAACTTCAACCCACATCTCATGCCCACTTTAGCACTCCTAAGCAGTCTCCTTTGATACTTACTCCAAAAACACTCTGGCCACACCCGATGATGCTGGGGAATGGTTAAGCATCAGGCATGGCAGGGTGTGGCAGGAAGGTGGCCACTGGGCTTTGAGGAGGGGACTGACAACCTTGAGAGCTCCTGACTCCCTTGTCCATCCCCTACTCTGTGGCATGCTCACCCTTGCTGATTAGCCTGGTCTCCACAGACCTACCTACCCAGCATCCTTAGACCCACAGGCCTAGCCTCTGCCTTTCCGCTCCCAGGATAGCCAATAGCTAACCATCACTAGTTTGGAGGGAGGATACAGCGGGGGGAGGGGGGGATTGAACATGGACACAGAAACTAGGGGAGCATTTGCAGGCTCCGGTTTCTTGATTCAAGTCTGACTGGTAACGTGCCAGGGAAGAGGAACATAGAAGGGTTAGAAGCTGATAAACTGGAAGATAGCAGAAATGCTATCCCCCACTCCTTAGAGCTGCCCAAGAGTCTTCACAGCCGAAGGAAACCAAGGCAGGCTCAGGCCCGGCTCAGTGCTACTGTCTAACCAAGGTGAAAAAAACTCTCTTAATTGCCATTCTCCATGCTGAAGGCTGTGTGCTCACTCTGCTGTCTAACCATCATCCACGAATCCCCAGGCGCCAGGGGATAAAACCTGACCTCTACGGTCCAGCCCCTACCAACTTCTCTTGTCGCATCACGTCTCTCATACATACCAGGCCACAAAATATTTCTAAACCCTCCAGGCTGCAGACAGAGCCTTTGTCTGGCTGCAATTCTGGCTTGAAATACTCATCCCCTTCTCTATCTGGCAAAATTCTTCTGGAATGCCTCCTCCTCCATGAAGCCTTCCAACCTTTCAATTCAGATGAAATTCTTCTGGTCTCTGTGCTTCCCAAAGACATGGCTACAAGTCAAAGGAGGCCCAGTGGGCACTTCTGAGCCTATCTTTTTGCTATAGAAGAACGGGAAATTTGAGACAGGACCTGGCCCTGGGAAGGGGAGTGGGGGATTGGGGCTCACAGGTCTTGGTAACATTAGAGACCATTACACCCCAGAGTCTTGGGGCTGTAAGCACATGGGCAGAATCAGGACATGCCTGGTCAAAATTCCAAGTTCCGGCTCAGCATCCTAGCCTGTTCCTGTTTGCCAGGCCTAGGGGCTCCCTGGGCATGTTGCTGAAGTGAGGAATTTGAGAGTTATGAGAAACCAGAGTGGGTCCCTTAGCAGGAAGAGGAGCTTGTAGAAATGCTGTAGTGTGAGACAGGTTTCACAGCATCAAGGTGGGCTCAGCCAATCACAACTAGAAAAGCCTCACCAATCGAGAAAGGAACCTGAGGCCTAGGGAAGGGGGTTGTTTAGAGGACTCGCACAGGTGGTGACAGGCAAGCAGAACTCATGGGTCCACCTGTACCTCTCAGAGCCCTTTCCTTCAAGAGCTAGGGAACGGTGATGCGGGCTGCGGAAGAGCGGTGATGAGGGTAGGAGGGTGGACAGAGCCTGTCTGGGCACACAGGGTGGGGCAGGCTAGCCTCTCTGCGGCCTGGGCCTGCCAGGGTGTGTGGGCCGCCTGCTCCCAGCCCCCCACCCTGAGCATGCAAAGAGAACAATCCCCTTGTGTTTGGGCAGCCTGAGCCTGCATGCTGATGAAGGCTAGGGGTGGGGGCAGGGATAGGGGTGCTTTGAAAGTTGAGGGGGTTCCAAGACACTGAGGGACAATATCCTCAAATGGAGAAACAATAGCCCCCCCCAGGTGCTGGCACTGAGGCCAGCAGGGTGACCCCACTGAACAGCGAAAGCCAGAGATCAACTCCTGACCAATGCCTGGGGTCTAAGAGCTCTTTACAGGGGAAAGAAGGGCCCCTGGAGACACATGCCTTGTTGGTCCAGCAAGAAGGTAACCGTCCTGGGCTTGATGCGGACCCACAGCCACACATTCTGAGAGAAGGGATGAACCAAGGAACATCCCCTTGAAGACCATTCCCTTGGGTGCCAGGGTGGGGCGGGGCCCTGGGTGCCACAGGTCTCAAGATGGCGGGCCTGGTTTAGGAGAGTGAGGAGGTGGGCACCTCCCTCTCCTGGTCGGGCATGCATGAGAGCCAGGTTGAAGTAAGTGGCAGAGCCCCTTCATCCCCACCCCACCACAGTACCCAGGCCAAGAAGCTAGGTCAGAGCTGGAGATGAAGAAGCCACAGGGCATGAGGGACCAATTTGTGCTCCCAACCATCATCTCCATCCCCCCCTTGGCCTGGAAGTCCGTGTCTGGCCCCTCCAAGGACTGCAGAGAATGGGAAGGGGTGTGTGCGAGCCAGGAGCTGCAGAGAACGGCTGATGAGAAAAGAGACCAAGTAGAACCCGAACGTGGGGCATGAGGTCCAGAACTAAGACCAAGCTCAAAGGACAGAAACAGCGAATAGGATGGGAGCCTCAAACCTGGTACCTAAGGTCCAAGAAACCCCTCCCTGAAGTGGGGTGTTCCCCTGGCAAACCAACGCCCCCACCTGTGCAGGCCTCAGCCGTATTGGACAGGGACCGTGTTCCTCGCAGTCCCCCCCCAGGACCGCGGTCGGTGCACACAGAAGCGGATTCCCTGCCCCCCCCGCGAACCCCCAAACTTCATGGCCCCCGCCCGGCCCGCGCCTTACCTCGCTGGGGCTGTGCTGCGGTGGCGGCAACGGCGGCGCGGCGGCTGGGCCGCTCAGTCCCACATTGTCCCCGGGAAAGGCGGCCGCTCACAACTGCGAGTGACATCAGCTGCGAACAATGAGGGGTTTGACAGGCGCGGAGCCCGGCCGGCCCGGAGCCCGGCTCCGCGCCCCCCCACCCCCACCCCCCGGCCCGCCTGGCCCGGCCCCGCCCCGCCCCCTCCCCGGATCCGATTACAGCGCGGCGGGCCCGCCCCAGCAGCCCCAGTGCCGCAGCCGCCCGCCCCGCCCCGCCCCGCCCCGCCCCGCCCCGCCCCGCGCCGTCCGGCGTCCCGAGCGGCCGCCGCTTCCGGGAGGGAGCGAGCGATCGACCCTTCCTCTGCGGCTCACCAGGGCTCGGCATCCTCCCAATGTGGCTCTCGTTGGGCCCGTCCTTCCCGCCCAGCGCTTCTGTCGAGCTCCCCGCAGCCTTCATCTCAGCCCGGGCCGCGCCTCCCAGCTTCTGTCCCACGGCCCCACACCCAGCCCCGGCTCTCGCTTCTTCGCCATCCTTCACTCCCGGGTCCAAACCAACCAGACAGGCCACCTTCGGCTTCCGCACCGCCCGGCCTTAGTCCGCCCAGGACAGGTTACCCGACCAGCTGGAGGAGGGGCCTGAGAGCGGTGTGGCCCTTAAGCACCCTGTCCCGTGATCCCCCAAGTCTACTGCCAAATTCCTTTTGGAGCTAGGGTTATAAGGGACGAAGCGCCATTAAATCCTTTACTAGGAAAGGGATAGGAGTGTGTGTATGTGTGGGGGAGGGGGTGATACTGAGCCTGCCCCTCCCCCATCTCAGAGCCGATATTCAACCCCTTTCCGTAATCGGCTCATGCTGGTCTCACTGACCTCCACCTCCCCACTAAGCTGAATCTCTTGGCACCTGTGTGTGTGTGGGTGTGGGTGGGGAGGGGAATCCAATCTCCCTTTCCCTCCATCTGGCCTAGTGGACAAAGGGCAGGGGGACCATCTGGTCCCGCCAAAGTGGGGGAGGAGCCCACAGTGGCAGTCCCCAGGGGGGAGGGGGAGGGGCGGCGCTCCAGAGACAGGAGAAGCACGTGAGGTCTAATTGCATCACTTTATTCCAGAGACCTCCACAGTCAGTCTCTCCATCTCACCCCCAAACCTCATAGCAGGAAACAGGCTTGGCTGAGAAGATTCAGGCTTGATGACCTGGGGAGGTGTGCAGCCCCCCCCCAGAAAGAAGGGGGAAAGATTAACGGGTATATTTGAAAGTCAGAGGGGTGTACCTCCCCTTCTGAGGAAGCAATTCTGATCAGGGACCAATTGCAACGTGTAGGTGAGAGAAATCTAGGGCTGACCACATCCTTATCCTGGCAAGTGGGTCTTTTACAAAGACTGGCTCATAAAGAGGCCCCACCTTCTTTCACAGGGAATTGCACGTGTACATGTGCAAGCATATGATGCAAAGCTGTGTAAGAATGTGGGTATCATTCCAGTCATGTGCACCCATGTGCTGCTCCCAAGGGAAGGGCTGTTTGGGTGTGGGATGAATCTAAACAAGCATTCAGACATGTATGTTATCTGTGGCCTAAGAGGAGAAGGGGGGTGCAGGGAAGGTCTGGCATGCAGAGCAGCTGAAGAAGGAGGTAGAGGGAGAGGAAAGTAAGGCAGTGAAAGCCAAGCAAGGAAGCCTATAGGAGAAGCTCACGGATTACCCACAATCAGATTCCTCCCCTTGAATCCGAGGCTTTTTCCACTTGATTTTAGCTCCTTGATCTGATCTGTCGCTGCAAGAGAAAAGCAGAAATGACAGGAACTCGGACAGATGTATAGAGAGACCTGTTGCAGGTGAGGTTCAAACCAGAGACCAGAAGACAGAGGGAGATCTCAGAGCAGGCAGACTGTCACCCGCTTCAGCAGGACTGAGTCTCATGCTAGCCCCTGCAGGAAATCCAGCAAGCCCGCGTGCCATTCATCAGGCTTGTCCAGGTAGCAAGGATGCCCCGCCCCTTCCATGACCAGCACTTTGTGGTTGGGCAGCTGCTTCAGGTGTTGAAAGCTGGAGAAACCCATGGGGTCCTGATCTCCATATACAATCAGAGCTGGGGTCTGGGAGAAAGGAAAGGAGGACAGAATCAAGGGGCTTGATTCTAAAGGCCATCTTCAACCCTCACCACTTCAGTCTCTACCTGCCCTCTGAGGAGAGAGAAGCTGATTCAATGGGTGGGGACCTCAATTTGCACCTTCCCCAATACACGGTTTTATACAGGGTTTGGCATAGTAATCTACCAAGTCAACCAAAAGGAGTTAGGTGGTCAGATCTCCCCAGAAACCATGCCACTGGTTGGGCAGCTTCCAGTTGAGGAAGGCCCAGGGGGGGACCCCACCTTGCTCCTGACATGCCACCTCAGCTTCACACACACACACAAGGTACCTTAGCACTGGCATAGTCAGCAGCATTGATTTTGTCTGTGCAGATGGGAGCCACTGGTACATAGCCCCGGAGTTGGGACCCGGGGGCCACGAGGAAGGGCAGTGCATACATGCCACTTAATGATGGACTGATCACAACTGGGGGTCCCAGCTCCAAGGCGTCCACCACAGCTGCTAGGAAGCTGCTAGGAGCCAGTTCCCCAACAGGAGCAGGGGCTGCTGCTTCCTTGGACCGCCCAAGACCTGCAGGGGATTCGGGTGTAGGAGAGACAAGGGCAATGAATGGGAAGGGTCCCTTCTCTCAGTGGGTCCTTCTGTGCCCAGGCTCATGTAACACCAGTGGACTGGACTCATTCACACCCACAGCCCAGTTATTACATTTGTGGCAAAAATGAGGCATTTCTTTCCTTGTTTGCATTCATACTAACAGTGCCCTGAAAAGAACTAAGCTCTGGAGTCAGGGATAGGTCTAAGTCCCAGTTCTCCATTTACTATAAAGATGACCACAGGTTAGGCCTCTCAGCCCTCAACAGCTGCCCAGTCTTCCCTCTCTGTTTAAAAGGGATGAGGAATGCCCCTGCCGTTTAAACATGAACACTGTTTAAAAGGCACCTAGCTCTTACCTGACACCAGATAGCATTCTGGAGGGTCATACCTGAGGGAAGTACTTCTGCACTGGGACCTACCAGCCAGTCCGAGACTTAACAATAGCTGTGGACCTTCGCCCTGAAGCTCAGCCCAACCCACTGTTGGAAGCAAGCCTGGCCAGGGTGGAAATCTGCCCTTGATACCTGAAACCATATCAGCTCTGGCCCGTGAGGGGATTAGATCCAGTCAGATAGGCTATGCCTCCAATTTCTCACTAGACACTAAGATGGGTGGGGCTTGGTGATCCAGGATAGGACAGACAACCTGGAAGCAGTTCCCACCTCCTGCAGTGTACAAGGACTCTGCTCGCAAATAGGCGACCAGGTACTTAGCCATCCGTCAGGCCCTGCCATGCTTCCCAAGACTCTGGAAGACCTACTGTTAATCCTTCCACCAGGCTGTGGATAAGCCTCTGTCAAGGTACTTTACTTCCAATCATCTGAGCACCCATTACTACCCCTCAAGCACTAGCTAATACATTCACACCAACAACCTCCCTGTGTTCACTAGGGACAGTCGCCGGCAGGAGTGTGGTACCTACCACTATGCATGACGGAAGTGAAGCCCAGAGACACTGAGACACAGGCTCAGAAACAGTGAAAAACAGCTGAGCAGTGTATGGACCCTACTAGAGCAAGACTAGACAAGTTCAAAGTTCAAATGCACTATGTACCGAACTGTCAAGCTCAGGGCTCTGCCTGGCTAAACCCTTCCAGTCCTCTGTCCTCAAGTCTTCCCCAACCTTGGCCCAGAAGCCCACTCAGAAGTACCTGGTAGGTCAATGGCCACAGCCCTGTAGCCAGCCTTGGCCAGCCTATTCAGAGTACCCAGGTTCTGCCAGGTCTCAGAGGAGTAGCGGATACCATGCAACAGCAGCACAGAGAACCGAGCAGCCTGCCCGTTGCCAGGCCGAGCCTCTCTGAAGAAGAGCCGCTGGCCCTGCACCTGGACGGTGCCCTCATGCTGATCCACACTGGCCATGCTCGGTGGTGGTGTGCCTGCAGTTCAAAGCCAGGCTGATGAGAACACCCTGCCCGAGGGAGCAGGGACTAACAGGTCCCTAGGATCTGAATTCAGGTCAGAAAAAGCAGGTGATATTTCTGCCTCTTCTACTCAGTTGTGTGATGTTGGGCTTCGACCGGCTTAACTGAAATATGGCAGAATTAGGAATGTCACTTAAGAATTTAAGAAAAACTGTCAGGGAGGGGTGGTGCATGCCTTTAATTCCCAGCACTGGGGAGGCAGAGGCAGGTGGATCTCTGTAAATTCCAAGCCAGCCTGGTCTACCTTTTTCCAGGACAGGCTCCAAAAGCTACAGAGAAACACTTTCCAAAAATAAGTAAGTAAATAAATAAATAAATAAAATAGGTTTGACAGATACATGCCCGGCACAAAGTAAGTGCTCAGTCAAGGATAAACACTGTCTTGACTGGCCTCGTTTAACCCAGCACTATCATTTAGTGGGTGAACTGGCGATACAGGCAAGAGTGAGACCAGTTTGTTTGGGATGAAGGCCCATTTTCCAGAGGCAGGAACACATGTCCCAGTCGGCAAGAATTTTGGTATTCCTGACTGCCAGGGACGCGGGGTGCTCAGAGCGCTGGCTGCTGGAGCCCAACTGGTTGACGCAGAAGTCACCCGCGCTCTGTTCAAGGTGCCCAACAATTCCGGATCCCTGGGTGTGTCTGAAGGAAGCATTGGAAAGAGGGACAGTCCAGAGAGAGGTGACCTGGAGAGCCGAGATGAGAAGACTTGGGGCAGGTGGGTTCTGAGTGGAGACTCAGAAAGAGTGGAGAGTGCAGAATGGTACCTGGAGATTTGCGTGGTCTTCAGCAGGAGAATGGCGAGTGCTGTTGGCGGGTGGGGAGAAAAGTAGGAAAGGGACCGGGCAGGGGGTGGGGACAGGCCTGGGCGTTCCCGGGCGCCCTCTTTTGGTCACAAACTACCACAAATTACACCTTAACCCTTCATTCTCCGACCTAGTCTATTTCCTCAAACACACCCCAACCCCATGTGCCCCAAGAGCCAGGCTGAAGATCTTGAAACCCTCAGCTATCTGTCCCACACGGAAGTGGCCTGCCTTGAAGGAGAAAGCTATTTCTGGTATCCCTGCTGTCCGCCCCCCTAAACCGCCCTCACCCCGAGTCAGGACAGTCCAGGGACGAGCTGTGCACCTGTCACGAAGCGGGCAGCCTACATATCAGCCTGTAAGGAAGGCTCCGTCAAAGTTCAGCCAGGTGGCATGGTAGTCTTTTCTGAACCTATAGAATGGGTCTGGTTAATGCCAACCTTGGCAGAGTACCAACAAGTAGTGAACTTTTTGCTCCCTTCATGATCTCCCTGCCCCGGGGCCTGGTTGAGCAGAGGCCTGAACCTGGGGCAGACCAGACTTACACTCAGTAAGTGTACTGAGCAGACCCAGAACTCAGAGGCCCTGCTCCCACGGCTCTGATCCGGCAGGGGAATGGGGCGAGGGAAGAAAGTGCCTGGAGCGGCTACATAACAATAACATCATCTGGTATTTCCACTAGAAGACCTCGGTGCCAGGAGGCCTTTGGTGTTCCGAGGCTTGACCTATCCTTAAGTCCTATGACACCCCCATGCGGTGGGTCTTTTCCTAAACCCCATTTTGCAAACAAAACGATAAAAAGTGAAGAACCGGTGGCTCTCCACAAGCTCTCAGGCCTTAGGCCAATAACAATTCCGAAAATCTGGGCCGCTAGGGGCGGGCCTCGGTTTTGGGGCACCGCCCCAAATCCTCCTTTGGTAACTAGGCAAGGACTGCAGCTACGTACTGCGCAAGCGCGCGCAGGGGTGGTGCGATTTGGGCCTGCTGGTTAACCTAGCCGGAGGGTGTGCCACACTTCGGGCTGTTTGGCTGTTGGCTCCGCCCTGGCCGGCCCCGCCTCACCGGAGCCCGCCTGGTTACCCCTGTTAACGTGGTGAGTGTCTCCGGGGAAGGAGACCCGCAGGTTGTCCGGGGACCGGCCATCCTTGTCCTCGCCGCTTGGGGCAGAGTCCTTCGGAAGGCGCAAGCGCTGGGCCACACGTGTGCAATGGCCCTGAGCTGTGCGCGCGCGAGTGTCTGCGTGTGTTCTTGAATGTCTGGGTTTAAGTGTTTCTCTTCGCTTTTGCCGAGGGTAGGGTGGGCTGGGGTGTTCACCGGTCTGCCAGCTTGCTTGCATGTCTCTTTTTTGTATTTATCTGTGCATCTGACGTGTGTATTTCTGAAGGTTTCTGTGTGTCGCTCTGCTGGTGCGTTTCTTCCCATGTGTGCCCCCCACCCTCCAGGTCCTTGCTTGCTAGGTAGTGTGTCTTTCCCTGGGTCTTTGGGAACATGGGGGAGGTTAGAGAACAACTTGCCTGATGGAGTCCGTTCATCTTTCACCATGTGAGTTCCACGGATTAAATAAAGTCAGATCGTCAGGCTTGGCAGCAAGTTCCTTTATCTGTAACTCCGCTCCTTTTAATATTTTATTTGGGGGTGTGTGTGGAGGTCAGAGCTCAGTTTGGAGAATTCCTTCCATGGGTTCTGGATAGTAAACTCAGGTTGTCAGGCTCATCTGCAAGTGCCTTTACCTGCTGAGCCATCACAAGAGCCCCTTATTTATTTTAGTTCAGGGTCTTAATGCATTGCCCAGCTAGGTCTTGAACATCCCTGAGTTTGGACACTTGTTTCTGTCTGTGTTGTCATTGTTATTGCTGCTTTTTTTGTTTTGTTTGTTGTTGTTGTTGTTCTTTGTGTTGCTATGCAGTGCTAAGCGCTCTCACATTTGCATAGAGCCTTCTCCTTGAGTGCTCCACTCTGAGGCCAGGACTGTGTGCTTACAGTGTGCTTTAAGGGTTGGGTATGACTTTGTGCTTGAATACTCCAAGGGTCTGCATGTGGTTTTGTGGGTGTTTGGTTTTGGTTGTTTGCTTACTTTGAGACAGGGTCTTACCAAGCAGCCCAGTATAATCCTCCTGTCTCAGTCTCTCTAGCTTCCATGCCTGTGTATGGGTTTTTGTTTTGTTTTGTTTTGTTTTGTTTTTGTATGTGTGAAAGGGTGTCTCTCTATGTAACTCTGGCTGATCTGGAACTCCCTGTGTAGACCAGACTGGCCTCAGACTCACAGAGATCCTCTTGCCTGTCTCCTGAGTGCTGGGGTTAAAGCTGTAGGTCACCATACCTGGTTTGTATATGTTTTGAAATACATGTGTCCGTCTCTCTGCCTTCCTGATAACTGACTGTTGCGTGACAAAATTTTTCCTGGGGAGACACAATACAGTTGTCTACTCACCCCAGATAGGGAGCCATGACAGACCAAAGTATAGATACCACCAAAGTCCAACTTGGTGAACCAATGACTTTTATTAGGGTTACTGTGGAGTGTAGATAAAGGGTTATTTACAGGAGCAGAAATGACTCAAAGACAGGTGTACCACCAAAGCCCACCCCAGTACGAGTGACAGTCGCAGAAGCTGGGAACTTGGAACACCCTGCACAGCCTGCAGGCAGCTCCACAGACTGAAGAGGGTTCTTTGCAAGCGGCTCAGTTGGCCTAAAGCCCTTCCAGGCAGTCCGCCTGGTTTCTTCGTCTTCAGAGAACTGCTCTGGTCTCAGAGTTTTCTTTACAGCTTAGCTTTATTTGGTGGGAGAGAGAATCTCACCCTTTATTATTTAGCTGGTATGGAGAAACCCAGTGAATCTAGTCAGTTTCAGGGAGTTGTCGAAGCTAATTTTTGATTGTTTACCTCCCTGCTTAAGGAGCTCCCCTGCAGCATGGAATGTTTTGACCTCAGAGGAGACTGTTAACACGACTGTGCATGTGATTTTGTGGATGTTACTGACTAAGAAACTAACTGTCAATGTGTGGCATAGGCCAATGTGTGGAGAATAGTTTGTTTTGTTTTGTTTTGTTTTTTGAGATAGGGTTTCTTTGTGTAACAGTCCTGGCTATCCTGGAACGTGCTTTGTAGACCAGGCTGGCCTTGAATGCAGATCTGCCTGTCTCTGCCTCCCAAGTGCTGGTATCAAAGGCATAAATCACCACTGCCCAGCTTGCAATAGCTCCTTGAAGTGTGTGGAAGCAAGACTCTTGTCTCTGTGTGAGTGTGTATACATCCCAGTATCCAGAGCAAGCATACTTTACTCTTCCTGTCCTCCATCTGCCCAGCAATCTGCATCAGAACCCCAACAATTGTCTAGTCTTGTGTGCCCTGGGTTGCCATGGCAACGAATAAAACTCCACCCCTCCACCCTAAAAGAAGGACAGGTTCGCCCCTGGTGGACCACTAAGAGAGGTCCTTTGAGGATGTGTCCTTGCCTGGTGGGAACCTGAGCTAAAGCTTTGTTGGAGGCAGACAACCTTGGCTGCTCTGGAAGAGTGTGCTTCTTCTCTGCCTGGCTCCTGATTTTCTATCAGCACTGGAGGATCTGCTGCTGTCCACACGCTGCCTGACTTCAGAGCAAGAGAGTGAGGACTCCAGAAGAGTTCCGCAGAGTTGGCAGAGGTGGGTGTGGCCTGATGCAGGCCCCAGCTCCTAGGCCTACCACAGACTCAATTTACACTCACACTCAATAAAAATGCATCCAGAGCTAGGCAGTGGGGGCACAAGCCTTTAGTTCCATCACTTAATGAGACAGATGTGGGTGGATTTCTGTAAGTGCAAGGCTAACCTGCTCTACAGATTGAGTTCCAGGACAGCCAGGGCCACATAGAGGAACCCTGTCTCAGAAAACAAAAACAAAAACAAAAACAAAAACAAAAAAAAAAAAAAAAAAAAAAAAAAAAAGAAAAGAAAACAATGCATCCAGAAGCAAGATAAACTTGTTCATTTTAGGCCCAAATAATGATGACAGGACATCCCATCCCCACCTGCTTGGGTGGAGTGTATTGTGAAAATCACACAAGGTTGGCCACCCAGGAGCTTATCCCAAGTTACTAAACGCAGCTTGGGGCAGAGGGGCATTCTCAAACCAAGATCACCTGTCCTGCTTGAGTCCCACCCTCCAAGCTAACAAAGGCACCGTGTTGGAAGAGTTCATGAAGCAGATCATTTAACAGACGTAGGGTGTGAGCTGGCCCATTTCTAGGCGGTTATACTCCTCCAGTCCCCCAGTACCTCAGACAGACCTCAACATTATCCCTAATGTTCTCTGTGAACTGGCCCGTGATGGCTGGTGTGACCATGAACTGTCTGTCCCCTCCTAGTGCACAGGGCATTCTGTTTGTAGCAGTATTCGAGTCACTTTGAGGGAAGAACCATTTCCGGGCACGCCCTCAGTGGAGGTCTCTTTGCACACCTTGACCTTTTCAGTCTTCACTCCTCCATCCACCACTGAGTCTCCTGCCAATACTGTGCTTTCTTCCAGAACACATGTAGCCTTGTTTTTGGAAACTAGCCCCAGGTCCCTTGCTTCTGCTGAGGTAGAGAATTCGTCCATGAGCCTGGATTCCTTTGTGCCAGAGAACTATAGTCAGATCTGCTCCCTGTATTTTCTTGTGGCCTCTAAGTACTTAATGTAGAGTCAAGCACGAAGGCTCCAGCCAGAAGAGTTGGTGTCATTAACACAGCGATGATGGTGGCCGGGCACCAAATGTGCCTGTGTCAGAGGGACTTCTCATGCACTTCTCTCTACATAGTAGAGTATCCCCAGCCTTTGTCCTGGCCTGAGGAGTAGTTGGGTATGATCATCCAGACATTCATCAAGAGCAAGGGAAGGGAGGAGACCTTGAGGGCTTCCTCAGCCTGTCTTCCCTTTTCCCCTCCAGGCTGTGTGGTACAGACCTTCATGAGCCGGTACCAGGCTGCCCTTCTGGGTCTAGGCCTGCTGCTCATGCTTCTCCTGTATGTGGGGCTGCCTGGCCCACCTGAGCAGACTTCCCAGCTCTGGAGAGGCCCCAATGTCACAGTCCTGGCTGGCCTCACCCGAGGCCACTCCAAAGTCTTTTACCGTGAGGTGCAGCCTCTCCAGCAAGCACACAGGTGAGTAATTACCCTAGAGTTTAATGGAGGGACCCTAGTCCAATTTGTGGGGCCCAGGAGCCTGAAGGGCACCGAAAGGTACCTGAGAAGAAAGGATGGTGGCTACCCAGGTCCCAGGCCACATCTTTCCCCCATGTGCCTGCAGGGCGGAAGTCGTGTTTCTCCATGGAAAGGCGTTTAATTCCCACATATGGGAGCAGCTGGGCACGATGCAGCTATTGTCAAAGAAGGGCTACCGGGCTGTGGCCATTGACCTTCCAGGTGAGTACCCCCACATTCAAGTTTAGAGAAAGCAGGATACAGCAGGAGCCAAGGAGCAGTCGCCAGAAGGGAGAATTGGAGGGGTAGCACAGCCCTAAGGTAACGCAGGGGCATCTGGATCCCCGTGTCCAGACAAACCAGTGGCAGGTCACAAGAAGGCACCACAATAAAAGCCCGGTTTTGTTTTCTACGTCAAAAACTACAATGTGAGTTATTGAATGTCACGGAGAAAACAGAAAAGTGATTTGTTTCATGAGCAGCCACTGGGGGGGGGGGGGGCATTTCAGTGTGCTTTTGTGACTGTAGTTTTTGTGGCTTTTTAAGGGGGGCACACCTTGGAAATCAGCAGATAACTTGTGAGAGTTGGTTCCTTCCACCCTGTGAGTCCCAGGGATCAAGCCCCTTTACCCACTCACTAAGCAGCCTCACCACCTTGCTTTGTTTTGTTAACTGTACACGTGGACCATGCTACCCTTTGGTTTTGTTGTTGTTTCCAGTACTGTGGATTGAACCCTGGACCTCAAGAATGCTAGGAAGGCACTCAACCACTAAGCTACACCTCCAGCGCCGTGTGTGCTATCATTCTTCTAATTAAAAATAAAAATGGAGGTGAGGGATGACCCAGTGAGGGGCTCAGCAATTGAGCATGAGCTGTTCTTGTAGAGGATTTGAGTTTGTTTCCTAATATCCATGTCAGGTAGCTCACTACAGCCTATAACTCCAATCCCAGGGGATCCAATGTCCTCTTCTGGACGCTGATGGAACCTGAACTCATGTGCATAAACCTACATGCAGAGATACATATATAAATTTAAAAAAATCAATATATATGTATATGTATATATATGTGTGTGTGTGTGTGTGTGTGTATATATATATATATATATATATATATATATATATATATATATATATATATTGGTGTTTTCTCTAACAGCCCCAGCTGATTAAAGGCCCATGCCCAGTTTAATATTTCTTAAAGTCATGAAGTCCTGCCAAGCAAGGTAGCACATGCCTTTAATTCCAGCACTTAATGGGCTGAGGCAGGTAGATCTCTGTGAGTTTGAAACCAGCTTGGTCTACAAAGCAAGTACCAAGACGGCCAGAGCTGTTACAAACCCTGTCTTGAAAAACCAAAAGAAGACAAATAAAAAGTGAAGTCCTTAGAAGCCAATAACACTTCTCTCCCATCTCTAAAGAGTGAGAGCCCCCACGTTCAAGCATTTCCATGCATGGAGATAGAGGTGGGCCTGGTTTTCAGACTTGTAATCCAAGCTGCTCAGGAGGCTGAGGCAGGAGGATCCCAGATTCAAGGCCTGCCTAGACTATAGAGTGGGTTCAGGGGTAGCCTGGCAGCTTAGTAGAGACCCTGTCTCAGAATGAAAAATAAAAACGGCCTGAGAATATAATTCAATGGTAGAGTCCTTGCCTAGCACATGCAAGGCCCCCGGGCTTAACCCACCTACAGAGAGAGAGAGAGAGAGAGAGAGAGAGAGAGAGAGAGGCAGAGACTAACACACCGAGACTGACAATATGCAGCTTGCATGTGGGGGGGGGGTTGGGAGCATGAACATCCAGCCTGCTTAATGAATGTATTTACACCTTTATTTTCTTGGCTACACTATGACTTGCGATTCAAACCAGACCCTGCAAACCTCCCCTACTGTTAATGTTGCAGTGTGGGCCATGGGAGGCATGGGCAGGCTTTGTATGCTCATTCCTCGATTGGTGGAGAATTGAAATATTTTCAGTGTCACCTGAAATACCCAAATAGCTCTAACCCAAGCCTCTTTGAAGAAAGCTGGGCATGGTGGTGCTTGCCTTCAGCACTTAGGAGGGAGGGGCAAGTGAATCTCTGAGTTCAAGGCCAGCCTGGACTACAGAACAAGTTCCAGGACAGCCAGGGCTACACAGAGAAACCCTGTCTCAAAAAATAAATAAATAAATAAATAAATAATAAAAATAAAAATAAAAGAGACATTTGGGGGCAATAGTTTCTCTAGGGTAGCTATCAAGGATACTTTTAAGTTTTTTTGACAAATACTATGTTACCTTTCAGAAAGGCTACATAGATTTATCCTTCCAAATGTAGATGCCCATTCCTTACATCTTCCTAACACTGGTTGTCATCAACTTAAAGGTTAGGTCAATATAATGGCTGGGAGATATTTTTTAATATTATTAGTTGTTTGGTTGATATTGTGTGTGTATGAGCATGACAGTGCATGTGTGGAGGTTAGAGGACACTTTATGGGAGCCAGAATCCTCTTTTCACCACATAGGTTCCGGGGACCAGATGGAAGTCACCCAGGTTTGTGCAGCACATGCTGTTACCCACTGAGCTATCTCACCTGCTGGAAAACTGAGTTTCTGTTGGGCCTCTTATAGTATGAAAACTTGCTTCTGAGAATGGCTGGGGTAGAATGTATGTGTGCCACTGGTCATCTCTTTCCCCCACGATGATGGGCAAGGAAGTCCTGAGCAATTCCTGGCTCCGCAGTTCTCAACCTGTGGGTCACAACCCTTTGGGGGGTCACATGTCAGATATGTACATTGTGATTCATGACAGTAGCAAAATGAGGAAGCACAACTAGTTCTCCCCCACAGCATGAGGAATTATATTAAAGGGTCAAAGCATTGGGAAGGTTGGGAACCGCTGTGCTAGCTCCTCTCAGGTAGTGCCTGCTGCTGTTCCCAGGGTTTGGGAACTCAGCGCCCTCAAAGGAAGCGAGCACAGAAGCAGGGCGAGCAGAGCTGCTGAAGCAGGCGCTGCGGGACCTACAGGTGCAGAATGCTGTATTGGTGAGCCCCTCACTGAGTGGCAGCTATGCCCTGCCCTTCTTGATGCGAAGCCACCACCAGCTACGTGGATTTGTGCCCATTGCACCCACCTCCACACGGAATTACACACGGGAACAATTCCGGGCTGTGAAGGTACTTAGACAATGATTTGCAAAAGATCCTGGCACCCTGTCCCTGGCTTGTATCACATGGGGGATGGCCTTAGAGGGTTGGCCCCTGCAGTTGGATGGAAGAGCTGTAGTGTGGGGACAAGACTCCCTAAAGGAATAGCTTGTGGGGTTGGATCCTTGCCAAGGCCCAGGATCAACAACTTCTGGCCTTGCCCTGCAGACCCCAACTCTTATCATGTATGGGGAACTGGACCACACCTTGGCGCGAGAGTCACTCCAGCAGCTCCAGCACCTGCCCAACCACTCTGTGGTGAAGCTATACAAAGCAGACCATGCCTGCTACCTCCACAGTCCGGAAGCCTTCCACCATGCCCTTCTTGAGTTCCTTGACCATTTGCCTTGAACGGACTCCCCAGAACTGACCTTGAACAGTCTAGATCCTCTCTCTCCTCTTCCAGGGAGGCTGGCCCTGAATGGGATTGGGGACAGAGGATCAAGCCAGCCAGGACTCTTGATTTCATTTCACAGGAACAATAAAGAAAAGGCCTGTTTGTCTTGCCTGGAGAGTGACATTGTGTTTTTTGACTTGGGGCAGGGGAGGGTGTTGTCAGTGGGAGGCAAGTCTGGAATGGCTGGGGAGGCTGGAGACTCCTGGGAGTCTGAGAGTGTACTACTTCCTCATAATCTGTGCTCCTTTCTCTGTGTGTCAGTTTCCTCCTCTGTAAAATGGGCATGGTGACAGTATCAGGAGGAATGATTATGGGGTTGAATGTGGCTAAGTGAAATACCTACTAACATAGGAATGAGGATGCTTTCAAAGGCGTTACTGTGGCTGCAGTCCCCCTGCGATTGGTAGGGAATATGGATGACTTCCATGCATGCACGAGAGCAATGCAGAGTACACGAAGGAGATGGCATGTGCTTTAAGAATTAAGCTGTTGTTTAACCACCAAATGGGACTGCTTCCTTATTAGAGGTGAGCTGCCAGAGACTTCAACCCCAAGGAGGTGTGATAGCCCCCTCTTGGGTCCTTCCTGCCTGCTCCCTTGGTCCCAGGGTTGAAGTCTTCTGCCCTTTCCACCTCCCAACAAGGCTGTGAGTTCAAAGCTGCACAAGTGGGCAGCTACAGTTACAGCTTGCTGGTGGCCAGAGGAACAGCTATGCCTGTTTCTCTCTCTGCTGGAGGCGGAAGAGCTTAGGGTTCGATGCAGGGTCAACTAAGGTGCTTTTTCTCAATCTCCCATAACTGTCAGGTGTCATGATTGTACCTGGTGCGCACATGAAGCTTGGCACCATCTCAGATTCATAATATCACTCATATGGTCATATCTACCATTCACGGATTTAGCCACGCCGTAACACGTTCATAGCCACATGTTCTCCCATCCGGGCACTTGTCTTTCATTTATGGCACCTTGCCCAGACGCCCACTCTTCTTGGCTAGGGTTAGAACCCCCTGGCCACATCCGCATCCTGGATCTCACGGGGAGGGGAGGGCAGACGCAAAAACAACAACAAAAAAAACCTCACTACACAAGGAGTGAGGCGATCTTGGAGGGTCTCCCTGAGAAGTGGAGGCGAGAAAAAGGACAGAGAGGACTGAGGGGACAGAATGCACTTTGAAGCCTGACACCTAGAGAGCAGATAAGTACTCACTCAATACCGCTGTGGCGACTTTTAGCGCAAGGCCCCGCCCTCTTTCCTCGCCCTATCCAAAGGCTGCAGGGAGAGGAGGATCCTCTGGGGGCGGGACCATCCTGAGCTTGCGGCCCAGGCTCCAGGGCGGAGCGTGAGGGGGCGGAGCTAGCTGCAGAGAGGAGGACCCAGGGGGTGGATCCCGGATCCAAGCTTCCACTTGCCCCACGCAGGCCCGGCCCTGAGCCAGGCAGGGACAACGGCACCGACTCCACCACGGGAACTGGGACGGGCCTTACAGTCTCCAGTCTCCGCCCCTCCACCCCGTCCTGGCCACGTGGTGGGCGTACCTGGGCGGTTTTGAGATTGCGACCTCGGTGGACCCAGAGTCCTGGCCACAGTTCCGAGAGGTCCCTGAGACACGAGGACGCAGGACCGAAACCTGGAGAGAGCAAGGTTGGGGGAATCTTAGGGAGGGGTTGAGGGGGTATGAGACTCTGTGGCATAAAAGCCCGGCCTTTGGGAGAAATATTTTGAGGAGGGTTTAGGGAGTCAGTGTCTCATTCAAACCAAGTTCTCCTACTTCCTTAGCTGGCTTTGTACCTCTCTAAGCCTCAGCTTTCTCTTTGGTCAAGTGGGTACACAGAGGCACAAACTTACTTCCTTGGCATGAGGAAATGTTTAGAAAGTAGCTAGTACGACACAGAATAGGGGAGTCAAACCAAGGTTTTTCTTCTCCCGGCGGGAGCAGCATTCCACAGGCCTGAGTGCAGCAGGTTCAGCCCATCAGGCCCCAGCTGCTGGTGGAGAGGGGAGTAGTAATTAGCTACTGAGTTTGCGGAAGCCAGCACGCAGCGCCATGACCACCAAGGGTCCCGAGTCCGAGCATCCCTCCGTGACGCTCTTCCGCCAGTACCTGCGCATCTGCACTGTGCAGCCCAATCCTGACTATGGTGAGAACGCAGGGTTTTAAGGCTTGTGATGGGGCCTCGAGGGCTGGGAGTGTGCTGTACACTACCCTCAACACCTGTCACCCAGGGGAACCCCACTCTGCTGTTTCTGCTGCCTCCTTTCATGGAGCCATCCCCTATATAGGTTGACCAAGGCCATCAGTCGCACTGCACACCACTCTTTCCCTATGCTGTGAAGCTTCATACGGTTACTCCCAGCGGTTAGTTAAGGAGTGGCTACACCTCGCTCCTCAGGGGCCAGAGTGGGGAGACTGGGACAATCACAAAGAGACACCTTGTTCCCAGTCTACCAAAGTTGTACAAAGGCTACAGCGGGGGGGGGGGGTGGGGGGTGGGGGGGGGATGGCAGGGCACGCCTTTAATCCCAGCACTCGGGAGGCAGAGGCAGGTGGATCTCTGTGAGTTTGAGGCCAGCCTGGTCTACAGAGCAGGACAGGCTATAAAGCTACAGAGAACAAGGGAATCTGGTGTGCTGTTGTGGCGGAGAATTCTGTGCATGGGTCCAGATCCTGTTGTAAGATTTATGAGCTGAGACTTTGGGCGAATCTTCTTTATCTCTGACGTCTCTATCTTTAAGAAAGATAGCTCCTGACCTTCACAAAGGGCCACTGACAGGCCAAGAACCTCGAGTTCCTTGGGAACGCAGGTGCAGGTGTCTTTGGGGATTTGGAATTGTGTTGGGAAGGCAGCTGTATATCTCTAGGCTGACTGGGCTCGGGTACCAGCAAAAGCAATGCAAAGCTCTCTGTCTCCCTAGGGGCTGTCATTGCCTTCCTTGAGGAGAGAGCCCACCAGCTGGGCCTGACCTGTCAGAAAGTAGAGGTGAGCCTGGGACCCTGAGCAGGATGGAGATGTGAGCTTGGGGACATCCTGTCACCTGGTGCTGACTGCCTCCCGTCCTCTGACTCTGCAGGTGGTGCCTGGTTATGTGATCACTGTGCTGACCTGGCCAGGCACCAACCCTACACTCCCCTCCATCTTGCTAAACTCCCATACAGATGTGGTACCTGTTTTTAAGGTATGTATAGACAGGTGTATGCAAGCCTGGAGAGCAGACATAGTGTGTAGACTTCAGAACTTCCCCCGGGCCCATGGTGCTAATGCTACCACTTTTTGTTGTTGTTGCTTTGGTTTTGGTTTGTCTCCCCTGCTCCCCACTCCCTAAGACAGAGTCTCACTATGTAGCTGTGACTGTCCTGGAACTCACTATGTAGACCAGCTTGGCCACAGACTAACAGAGACCCTCCCCCCTCTGCCTCCTAAATCCGGGAAGTAAAGGTCTGCACCACTGTGCTGGCCTGTCCACCACTAACTCTTAACATTCGTGTGGCATGGCTCTTACGAGCAGCCTTTGTCCAGTAAGGATTCTGTGCCAGGAAGGGGGTGAAGGCAGGAAACAGACAGAGGATGGAAACCAGCTAGCTGTTTTCTTTAGCCTTCTTCTAACCCTCTGGCCATTTTAATTCTTTGCCCCCAGGAACATTGGAATCATGACCCCTTTGAAGCCTTCAAGGATTCCGAGGGTTACATCTACGCCAGGGGCGCCCAGGACATGAAGAGTGTCAGCATCCAGTGAGTACCCTCCTTTCCCAGGCCCCTGCTGGCCTTCTGGACTCAGCAAGAACACAGATATGATTGAAAGTCCCCAGGCCAAGCAGGGATCATCTTGACCTTCTAGATACAGCAGAAATGACTGCCATGATCATTTATGCATGGGGAAACAGGCCCAGAAAGGGGTAGGGAGTTTTCTGGAGTCCCTGAAAACATGACAGGGAAGTATCTAGGGCACAAGACTACATCCTGCATACCCTTAGCACTTAGCCTCTGCTCCCTCAGGTACCTGGAGGCTGTGAAGAGACTGAAGAGTGAGGGCCACCACTTCCCTAGAACCATCCATCTGACCTTTGTGCCTGGTAGGAGTGGCTGGGGGAGGGGCGTCTTTGAGGAGGAGAAGCAAAGTGTGTTGTGAGGCATCTCACATCTCATCCCTGACACTTTTACAGACGAGGAGGTCGGAGGTCACAAAGGGATGGAACTGTTTGTGAAGCGGCCTGAGTTCCAGGCTCTGCGGGCAGGCTTTGCCCTGGATGAGGGTGAGCAGGTTGGCGAGCCTCCCAGGTGCAGGGAGGCTACAAGGGGTAGCTGAGTCACTCCACTCTGTATACTGTCTCCCTCAGGCCTGGCCAACCCCACCGATGCCTTCACTGTCTTCTATAGTGAACGGAGTCCTTGGTGTGAGTATGGACTTGAGTGCGGGAATCTCTCTCTACCTCCTTTCCTGTAGCCATCCCCTAGGTCAGCTGACCAAGGCACCCAGAGCCACTGTGTACCACCCTTCCCTTATGCTGTGCAGCTTCATGTGGTTAATATGTCAGCCACTTACGAAATGCTTCACCTCACCCATCAAGGGCCACGTCTAGCCAGGTGGCAACTCGGGCAGAAAGGGCAAGGGCTTGCACAGCACGGGGTCTCTTAGAAGTCGATGTCTGAGGCATCCAGACTTTTGCCTCCCAGCTCTTTCCTTCCTCGTTTCTAAGGACCAGGATCCTGCACTATGCCATGGGCTCCGTTGAGAATACTGTAGGGTTCATTGTGTCTGCAACTCTCTTATGCTGAACACTTTGTTCCTCCCAGGGATACGGGTTACCAGCACTGGGAAGCCAGGCCATGCCTCACGCTTCATTGAGGATACAGCAGCAGAGAAGTTGGTGTGTGGCCCGTGGGGAGACTGGGCATTCGGGAGGCTCTGTCCCAGGGTCTCTCACGTTTCACCTCATACTCTCCTAGCATAAAGTTATACGCTCCATCTTGGCATTCCGGGAGAAGGAAAAGCAGAGGTAAGGCAGCCTAGGGAGGGGGTGGGGTGTGGGGGTGGCTCTGGAAGACTGTGCAAGATGGGGGGGGGGGGAGACTTGTGCAACCCTTCCTTTACCTGCTGCTCCTGCCCTCTGCCGCCCG